CACAAATTTTAACATCAGTAGAATCTTTTATAGATAAAAGTTCACATTTATGGATATTAAGACATAAACCAGAAGCAGAGGAAAACAACTTAATTTTGTCTAAAGCTAAAGGAACTTGATCTTTGTTTTTTAAGAAAAGAGTTGTGTCATCAGCCAGTTGGCTTAGTAATATTGATCGATTTGCCACAGAGATACCTTTCAAATTACTATTTTGAATGTGGATGGCTAAAAGTTGCATAGGAAGCAGAAAAAGATAAGGCGAGATAGGGCAGCCTTGACGAATGCCTCTCTCTATATTAAACCTATGAGTAGTACCATGTTGTAATTTAATTGAAGCATTGGCATTATTATACAAAGTTTGAATTGCATTAATAAAATTAGGGCCAAAACCAAAAATACTCAAGGACTTAAGAATAAAAGGAAATTCAATGGAGTCAAAAGCTTTATAAAAATCAAGAAAAAGCAGAAAAAGCAAAAGTCATATCACCTTTAAGCCTTGCGCTATCCTTGACAGTTCAACCCCGGTGCAAGATTGTAATTGTAGTACGAAACGGAACATTGTCTTGATTCCTAGTATGTTAACAGCTAGCTTACAAAACTACATTACCCATCATTCCTAGCACCAACGGCTTCTACTCGCATCCTGTCCGGTGACGATAGCGCAAGGCTACAGAAGCAAACCCAGTCTGAGGCTGCTATATTTCGTAATTAAATCAATTAAACATTGATTGAAATAACTCAGACCACCGTGAACGATAAATACCGAGCACAATGGTAAGTGTAGATGCCTATTTTTGCTTGTTACGATCACTTATTTTGATTAGTTCGCCTGTCTGTTCTTTTCAGCTAACAGGCTAGTGTGACATGTCGATTATAACAACACGACCAAGGTCATAAATCAAACTATATAGACATTTAGTGTTTGAACATAGTATCCAGTGGAAAAAAAATAATCAGACTTTCATTATTCTCTTTCGGGTCAGAATAGAAATAACGCTGAATGAATGAATGAAGCTAAATGCTCATTGCTAGTTATTTGATGCAAGCTCTGTTTAGTTTGCCTATTATATATATCAATAATGTCTTTTCATATAAATAATACAGTACACAATACATCTCTAATGGCAGCTCATGCATCTTTAGCTATTAAAATAGTTCAATGCGTTGTCATTATTCATACAAAAAGCATGTGACATGTTAATGCGGAATGATTTGTGAGAATTAGGTCTAAACTTTGTTCTCCTGTTGTTCTTGTGCAGATCCGCTTTATCCTCATCCAGAATCGGGCAGGGAAGACCAGGCTGGCCAAGTGGTACATGCAGTTTGATGATGATGAGAAGCAGAAGCTGATTGAAGAGGTTCATGCCGTTGTGACAGTCCGTGATGCCAAACACACCAACTTTGTAGAGGTACAACACTTCCTTTTAACATGTTATACTTGCTGTGGTTCAGAGGTCCGTATGGATTACTCCGCATTGTGTCCTGTGCATCAAAAAGTTAGAAGGATGCAATTTGATCATTTTTGAAATATGTATCCGTATGGGATTGGTAAAATCGACATCACACATGGCATGTGTCGTTTTGAAGGTCTTATCTAGGAAATGTACAGATAAAGGTGTTTATATGTGGTCTTACATGTTATACATTGTATTCCTCTGCAGTTCAGAAACTTCAAGATCATTTATAGGCGATACGCTGGCCTGTACTTCTGCATCTGTGTGGATGTGACGGACAATAACCTGGCTTACCTGGAAGCTATTCACAACTTTGTTGAGGTAAATGAGGAGCAAGCTTAAAGGAATAGTTCACCCAAAAATGAAAATTAGCTGAAAATGTACTCACCCTTGGGCCATCCGAGATGTAGATGAGTTTGTTTCTTCATGGGAATGGATTTGGAGAAATGTATCATTACATCACTTGCTCACCGATGGATCCTCTGCAGTGAATGGGTGCCGTCAGAATGAGAGTCCAAACAGCTGATAAAAACATCACAATAATCCACACCACTCCATCAATTAACATCTTGTGAAGCAAAAAGCTGCGTGTTCGTAGTAAACAAATCCATCATTATGGTGTTGTAAACAATGCTTGATCTGTGCATGGTTTTCTCCTGATTCAGATGAGAGAACTTTTTAACTGGAGAAATCAATATTATGGATGGAGGACTCATATTTTAAGTAAAAAATGTGTTAATGATGAATTTGTTTATTACAAACGTGCACTTAATACATACACATTAATTGATGGACTGGAGTGGTGTGGATTATTGTGATGTTTTTATCAGCCGTTTAGACACTCATTCTGACGGCACCCATTCACTGCAGAGGATCCATTGGTGAGCAAGTGATGCAATGCTACATTTCTTTAAAACGGTTTAGATGGAGAAACAAACTCAATTCCATCTTGGATGTCATGAGGGTGAGTACCTTTATTTAAATGAATATGCATACATATACTGTATGTATGTGTATATATATATATATATATATATATATATATATACTCATTAACATTTAAAGGAAAATGCTACAAAAACGGCTTGATCTGAAAAGAGCTGTTTTTTTTACACTACCATTGAGAAATTTTAACCAAACTATGTTACAGACTTTTCATTAAGACCCCAAAGAATCATATCAACTTGTGGAAAATGGGCATCCTATGACCCCTTTAAAGAATTTAAAATGCCACACGGGTACCATTTTTCAAAGCGATGACACGAATCATTGAGTCATTTGAAATGAATCTGATTTTCCAGCTTGATCGTTTTTGCAATTGATATTTAAATCAGAAATATGTGACAAATAAGCAGGCACAAAACTGAACCACTACCACAGGCTTTAGGGAACTACATGACTAAAAAGTGCATTAAAATCACTGGCATTATGTAATTTTATATTGCCAAGAAAATTATATTGAGTGTGTTTACATGCACGCTCTCAAGCCGATTATGCATAATAAGCCAACAACGCACATGGTCACGTAAACACGGTAACCCGTTTTCTTTTTATCGGAGTAAAGTCATAAATGGCTTAAGAATAAACCGATCGACACAGGTTGTTTTTTGCCTCTCACTCCGATTTCACGTGGCATGTAAACGCATTAACCTCGGCTTATTGAAGTGCGCATGTGTGATATGCGACAGGAACGCATCATTAGTGCAGCGCATCCAGACAGAGCGAGCGTTTTGCAGTAACGAAAGAAGGAAAAATATCACAAACGCAGACTCTTGTGTGTTCTCATCTCATGCAGCAGAAGTAGTTCAGTCAAAGCGCTGCATCTATAACTGCATGAGAGGATAATATGAGCTGCAAGTTGCCCACTTACATGTTGCAAGCTTTATTTAACACCACAACTGAAAACATATGCTGTACTCGTAGTCAGATATGCAAATGATTGTTTTGACATCACTACAGGGAAATAACCTGATATATTAATGTCATGTAAACGAGGTTTACTTGCGCTGTCAGGTTAACTGATGTACGTGTAAACGGGGAAAACTGATTATTTTAATAAGCTGATATTTGTGAGTTATGAGCTTACTGGTGTGCATGTAAACGTGCTCATTGAATATATTTTTCTTAATGAATATAAGTGTAAAGCTCAGTCTTATCCTAAACATTTCCAATCTAAATCCATTTTAATGTAACACAGATAATTAGAAAATGAGCTTTAGCGAGACGTCTCACCAGGTAAATAAAGGAGCGAAATTTGCGTAATTTGAGAGACTAATGGAATGTGGCCATGATGGGAAACCAGCAGCCAGGAGTTCAAGAACATTGTGACATGGATTCTAGGACTTCCTCTGACCCTCACTGTAAACAACTCCCCCATCATATCCCACATCACTCGAGCCCAAAGCAGGATTAAAAACAAAGAAACGCCAGGGTCACCAACTTAAAATGGTCAACAGCTATACCCGTCCCTAATTTAGCTGCTTCTTATTGAGGTGGACGATAGACTGCTGTGGTTAAGTGTATCCTGAGCAAATGTTGCTATGAATCGATTGGAACTGATCTGTATTTTATTAAAATTTTTTCGCAGGTTTTGAATGAGTATTTCCACAATGTGTGTGAATTAGATCTGGTCTTCAATTTCTACAAGGTAAGTGTAGAACTAACCTAATACTAACACTTTTCTATAAAAAAAGCATGTGTATATCTATCTATAGACCAATTCAGAGTAGACGTCACAGTTACGTCACTTACAGCTGCGCGCGCATAGTGGTTGCAGAAAAACACTGGGATCAAGTGGAGATAAATGGGTAAAATCCATGGAATGAAAGAAAAAATATATTTTTGTGCCTTGTGATGTCAAGATTGGAATGCAAAGAATTTTGATAGAATACTGTCGTCAAAGACGCCATTTGAAGCTAAACAGACGTTTAAACGGACAGACTATGGATGAAAACTGCTATGATTACTCTACTTTTAAAGCATAAATTCGGTTTAAACAATAGGTCTACATAATATTCACATATGCTGTTTATAGGGGACGTATTGTATTAGCCCTAAAGTTACAGCATGAAATAATATTTAAACCTTACTATTAGAAATATTATTTAAACCTTACTATTAACATTTTTACATTTTATCTCACAATTCTGACTTTTTTCTCGCAAATGCAAGTTTATATCTCCTAATTCAGACTTTTCCTCTCGGCTTTTTGAGTCAAGTCGAGTTAAAGAGAGAATGACGAGTTGTTTTTCCTTATTAGAATTGTGAGATATAATCTCGAATTTGTGAGAATAAAGTCCGAATTTTGAAATATAAAATCAAATGTACCTTTTTTTTATTCCATGGCTCCATAGACTGCCGCTTGAAAACCGTCATTTTCTGCCTCCAGATAGGCTCCGCCCACAACACTTGTAGTAACTCTTGTAATATGCGGAGAACATTTTGAAAATGACATCTAATCAATATAATTTATAATATTTTTAAACCTAACTATTTTGTCCCCTATCCGTGAAATTCTCTAGCCATAAAGGCTATCTCTCCCGGGTTTTCTGCAACCATGATGCGCGCGCATCCTGAATGTTTACAAACCGGTAATTGGTCTATATCTATATGAGTCAAGTCGAGTTAAAGAGAGAATGACGAGTTGTTTTTCCTTATTAGAATTGTGAGATATAATCTCGAATTTGTGAGAATAAACTCAGAATTTTGAAATATAAAATCAAATTTACCTTTTTTTTTATTCCATGGCTCCACAGACTGCCGCTTGAAAACCGTCATTTTCTGCCTCCAGATAGGCTCCGCCCACAACACTTGTAGTAACTCTTGTAATATGCGGAGAACATTTTGAAAATGACATCTAATCAATATAATTTATAATATTTTTAAACCTAACTATTTTGTACCCTATCCGTGAAATTCTCTAGCCATAAAGGCTATCTCTCCCGGGTTTTCTGCAACCATGATGCGCGCGCATCCTGAATGTTTACAAACCGGTAATTGGTCTATATCTATATAGAATTATTAGTATAAAAAATTTGGTAAGTTTCTTTTTTTTTTTTAATGCTCTTGAAAGAAGACTTTCAAGCTTCTTATACTCAGCAAGTCTGCATTTATTTGATTAAAAATACAGCAAAAAAACAGAAATAATGTGAAATTATTGTAATCCAAAATAACTTTCTATAATAATAATAATATTCTATTTCAATATATTTTAAAATGTATTTTATTACTGTGATGGCAAAGCTGAATTTTCAGCAGCGTTACATGATCCCTCAAAAATCATTCTAACATGCTGATTTGCTGCTCAAGAAACATTTATTATTATTATTATCCATGTTGAAAACAATTGTGCTGCTTAATATTTTTTTGGAATTATTTGATGAATATAAAGTTTGAAAGAACAGCATTTATTTTTTCAAATAGAAATCTTTTGTAACATTATACATTTGTTTTCATGTTTGATAAATTTAATGCATACTTGATAAATAAAAGTATGTATTTCTTAAAAAAAACAATTTAATTGACGTGATTCAGCATGACTTGCCTTAACCAATCAAGAGGCCTTAAGGCTTGTTCACACCGGGACGAATATCGCGCGCGATTATCGCCGACGTTCAACGCCTCGTGACTAAACAAAGGGCACCAATGTGAGTGTGCACACCGACGCGCAAAACGCGAGGCGTAAAAGCGTAATAAAAAAAAAAAAATGCCTCTGGCTCGTTTTTTTGGTTCGACGCACCGCGTTAAAAACTAGCCGACCAATGAGATTGGTGCTTTTGTTCACGTGCCTGGACCTGCTGAAGTTACAGTAAAACACGACTTGGTGGCGCTCAAGCACAAAACGGTCTTGCCGAGCACACATTGATACCTAACAACGAAGAGGAAGTAAGTAGACCAAGAAGATGCATCGAGGCA